TGCAGCCATCTCACCTCACGCTGGGATCCTGTGCAACATAACAAGCTATGGAAATGCTATATTTCCTGCTGGTTTTCGACAAGCTCCCAGAGAAAGTGGTGGCAGTGCCAGTGAGAGGAATTCTGGACAGTAGCAGATTGTTTGATAAATCTCGTCCTGGCTTCAGCCACAGACATGCTACTGAGGCTGCCCTTGTCAAAGTCATAAATGGTTTGAATACCACTGTTCAAAAGGAAGCCTGGCCTTGTTTGTACTATCAGATCTAGCCATGGGGGTTTATTCTGTAAAAGGCTGGATTCTGTTGCAGTGCCTAGGTGACTGGCTAGTGTTGACTGAGAATGCGTTGAACTGGTTCCAGCGGTACTTGATTGCTTTCCCCAATCAACAGAGTAGGGTAAATTCTCCTCGAGAGCAGCCAGTTTCACATAATGACACTTGATCCCGGGGAGAATTCACCGGCAGCCTGACTTAGTTGGCACTGGTGCTTTACACTCTTTCTCTTGCCTTTCAGAGAGATATATGAGAGGCATTAGAGCAGTGTATTAGAACTCTTTTTTGGCTTTGTTGAAGAGGACCATATTTCTACAAGTACCAACAATCAGATATTCAGAAACAAAAGAGTTCCTTGTGCAGTCAAGATTATTAATAGAGATAAAACACTTGTTTGTACCTGTTAATTTGAAGTCAAACTTCTTTTTATATATATTTTTACAAAAAAAAGGAGGCCTGAATCCTGTCTGTAAATCTGGAGTGACAGTGGTGACACCACTCGATACAGACAGTTGTAAATGACATAGGAGAATCTGACTCAATTGTCTGAAAACTTGAAGTCAGGGAATATCTTTCCATGAGACTTCAGTTTACATTCATGATCGGTAACATTTTTAGCCTAACAAAGAGACTCTGGTATTTCTTATACCACTTAGATCCTATCCAGTTCCAGCAGCAGCCTGGTACCAATTTTACTCTGTAGAAATTTTCCTTATTTCCAGGCTTTTCAGGCTGTAGCAAGGCTGCAATGTGCAGAAGGATTGCAAACCTTACACCTAAGACTTGAAAAGGAGTTTAGCTACAGATCTTTCTGAGTTTCTTGTGTGAGGAAACAGATTTTTTTTTCTTCAAGATACCTCTCAACAAGAACGTACAGTATTTGAAATTACAATGCAGTGAGATTACCTGCAAATTCTCCAATCTGAGGTTTTCACCGGTTTCATCAAAGGGGCCAAGTTACAGATGAAATTTGGATGAACCATGAAGTTAGTAGGAGATACGTATTCTCAGCCACTGTAATTTACAGGTCTGTAAGATCAGACTATGATTAATGGAACATTTTATGAACATTATAGATGTGAAATATACAGTATGCAATTCTGAGTAATGAATTCATGCTTCAGCTTTCTCATGTGTCTTCATATGTCCATGAGCTGAGGTAGCCTACTGTTTTCTTTTCTTCTTTATCGTCCCGTCTGTTTCTTCACTTCGTGGCATAATAATTTAAACTAGTATACTGAATTCAAAAGGACAACTTTCCATGTCCAACAGTGGGAATCTAGGGAACCTAATCAAAACTGAATTTGAATCCTTTCTTTCTCATTAAAAAAAAAAAAAAAAAAAAACTAAATTCAAGTACATCTGTATTTTGTTTCTAAAATGATGTAAGCAATCTGTGCCATGTACACAAGCATGCAGTAGATCTATAGAACTTCTCAGCTTCCAATTTCATCTAGCATGTACATTTGTAATCTGAATTGAAAGATTATTATCATGTAGTGATCCATGGAAGAACAGTATTGCATAGATAGCATTAACAGATCAGAATTTAACGTGGCATGATATTAACATTTTTGAACAAATATTGGAAGAAAACACAATCAATGTATTTTTTTCCTAACAAGTCTTAATTTCTGCTAGGCACCCTCAGATTTGTATATCAATCTTGTATTTTTCGTATGAAAGTATCTAAACATCCACACTGTGGCTATATATACTGCGCTTAACAATTACATTTTAATAGTTTCATCTTTATATTAGGCTTTCCTCCGAAACAGCTGGCTTCAGTAGACACTGATGACTTTGACTTTCACACATTGCATTCTGGTTAGCTACCCCATGGCAGGGCCCTCTTGGTTCAGTCATGAACATGCCTCCCGCTGATGCTGTCAGCTGCTGAGCATAACTCTGGAGAATAAATCCTGCTACAAGTTGAAAAACATTCTACAATTGTCTTATTTATGAGTAGACCATAATTACATTGTGTTATCTCACTTGGTTTTTACAGCTTCTTTCCGTGCTTCAAACAAGCAAATTATACAGATGGTTTTGGGTGTCACATGGGAGGGTATATTGCAAAGAACATATTTTAATGGCCAGAGTTTGAAAGGATCATGTGAAGGTTCGTCACTTTGATCATTTCAGAGAGCTGAGACCACTGCACTGCTGATAGGCTCTGCTTTCTTTTGTTTTTTGTCACTTCAGAGTAAACAGTCTTACCTAGGTTATTGCACAACAATAAGATAGACTGAACATAGAGTTTTTAAAAGGTCTTTCAGTGGTTCTGAAAACATGGCTTTCCCCATCAAGCTAATACTCTTTCAGTGTCTAATACTTCATAAGTGCTTGAGTACTGTGTTTAGTTTTGGGCCCCTCACTACAGGAAACGCATTGAGGCCCTGGAATGTGTCCAGAGAAGGGCAATGAAACTGGTGAGGGGTCTGGAGCACAGGTCTTATGAGAGGCTGAGAGAGCTGGGATTGTTTAGTCTGGAGAAGGGGAGGCTCAGGGGAAACCTCATTGCACTCTACAACTTCCTGAAGGGAGGTTGGAATGAGGAGGGGTTTGGCCTCTTCTCCCAGGAAACAAACTGGACCTGAGGAATTGGCCACAAGTTGCACCAGAGGAGGTTTAGATTAGATACAAGGAAAAACTTTTTCACTCAGAGAGTGGTCAGGCACTGGAACAGCCTGTCCAGGGAGGTGGTGGAGTTGCTGTCACTGGCAGTGTTCAAGAGGCGTCTGGATGAGGAGCTATGAGATATGGTTTGGTAGCTTGTGGTAGCAGTGGTAATAGAAGGACAGTTGGACTGGATGATCTTGTAGGTCCTTTCCAGTCTTGTGATTCTACTATTCTATGATTCTATAACTGACCAAAACCAAATCCAGATGGTTTGTGTTGTTAAGATAATGTTAGCATCTTGCTGGGTACAGAAAGTATTGGCAGCTGCAGTAGATTATGTGATGCTGGGACAGAAACCTATCTTTAGTCCTCTTTCTTCTGGGGAGTTGGGGAAAAATCCCACTCTGAGGGAAAAGAACATTTTAAAGATGGAACAAATGAACTATTTTTCAGCGTATCATCAAACTTTTTAGGACAGATGTCATTCAAAATTACAAATTTTATTTCTCTCTGATGATATTTAGCCTTCAAAATAAGAATTATGACTAACTTTCTGTGATATAATTAAATCTCCTTGAAACTGTGTGCATGACAGAAGAAGAAAACAGACTATGCAGACGCGGTGGCAAATGGCCTTACTAATTCAAGGAAGTAGATATGGTTGTCTTCTTCTGACAAGAGGCTCCACCTTGTTCCCACTAATCTGTTGTGGAACTGAAAGTGTTCTTACTGCTGTCAGCAAGAGTTTTTGTCTCATACATTGACTTCAGTTTTTAGATCTGTATCTTCTCTGACTCATACATTTTTTTAACAAACATTTTGAGAAATCCAAATTAATATATATATATAAAAGTATATATATATACTAGGATTGCTGTGCTGCAGTAATACCATAATACCCTATTTTTCACAAAGCCATGCATTTAAAATCAAGAATGGCAGGAATATTGTTATTCATTTTCTGAATACTCAGCAATATCCCTTTTTCATTAGAAAATGTCTAAAGGATGACTCGAAGGAATTCTAAGAGAACAATTTTTCAAGGAGAAACTTCTGAGAGTGACAAAGATACAGCGGTAACTTCAGTATGTGCTGAGATGAAGCAGGACATGTTTTAGTTGAGTAGAAGGAGGAAGGCCATGTCTCACATATATGAGACTGGGGGAATCTTTATGGTCAGGACATACAAAGACTTTTTTGAGAATTGAAGATGCTGTGTTATGCACTAAAATGACATGGCAGATGGCTTCCCTCCATTGAAAAAAGTGCAGTAGGGAGAAGATGAAGAAACCTGTTTCAGCCGTGAGGGCTCAGTGAATTGGTCACAAGCACTGCTGGGGGAACAGCACTTTGTGTGTTCAGTTTGAATAGAAGTGGATTAGTTTGGATCAGAAATGGTCTTGTGAATTTCAGCACTGAGACAGCAACTGAATTTGTGCCTTGCAGTCATTAGGTCAGGTAGGTTAAGGATGGAATGGAGTCTCTGAGATCTATTTGAGGAGAAATCAATGGAGAATTTGACACAAGTAACGCCAGTGGCATGCAGCTGGCAGCCTCGTACCGTGTCACAGATGAACTCCAGGCTGCAAAAGCAAACAGCACTCTCAGTGTGCTTACAGATAAGGAGAAGGGGGATGAGGTGGAGGCAGGCAGATTCGGTGTGCATTTTTGAAGTGGAGAGATTAAACACACTTGTTTTGTAAGGAAGGAGAAGCCAAGGCAAATGACAGTGTACAGGGAGGAGTAGAAAATGAGGTAAGCAAACACAAGGGAGAGGAGAAAATGGAATAACTTGTTCCGCTTAATGCTTGCATCCATTTGGTAGATCAAAACTGCACTAATTTGGGAAGCAGTTTATACAATCCATAAAAATGCATTTTATTAGCTTTTTTTGCTTTGAATCACTGACTTCTAAAGAATGAGAACAGCCATAAATGCTATTGTCTCCACAGGCAGCAATTTGAAAATACAAGATGCATGGTTACATGATAAGTGTATTTTCTTCATAAAAAATGTTTGCAAATCAGGTTTAAAATAAGGGAAAAATAACCTGAAAATATTCTGCACTTCAGAAAATAATAAAGTGTCTTCTTATTTTCCCCTGGTAGGCCACGCAATGCAGATTACTTTATGCAGGAAGCTAAACGGAAGAAACATAAAGCAGATGCGATGGTGAGAATATTTTCTTTCCAGTTATGTTCCTCCAAATTATTTTTGTAATGCAGTTTCTTCATCAGTGCGGTATTGCTGGGGTAATTATAAAATCTATTATAAGGATGGCTAGGCTTGTTAAATTAAGAAATGTTTATATAATCAAATGTTCATAGCCCAATAAACTATGACTTAACAAATAATGACTTACTGAGATAAAGGCCTGGATAAATAAAAATTTCCATTTATCCCTATGCTTTAATTAGCAACTGTAGTAATAGAGACTGTATGGTTACATGCTATACTATGTGTATCCACATACCTTTCTTCTCAGTTTAATAAGCTGGCTAGGCCATGTAATAACAGTCCAGGTTGGTCCGGTGTTCAGGGAATCTGCCCTTTTTTTGAAAAGTTTTGGCTTGCCATTGCCAAAAGAATCTTCCTTTCATGACAAACCCTTTGTAAGACAACCAGCAGCACATGAGGAATCCATTTAACCCTGCAGGAACATGTTTCACACACAGGACTGTTGCAACAAACAGGTTTTTGTCTCCAGCTTTGATGTGCCTAGAAAAATAGCCAGTAAGACCTTCTTGAGAAAGGGGAACATGGGGCTTTATGGAGCACTGAAGGGATCCCCATCTTCCCAAACAGAAGGGTGCAATGAAGCACATGGTGCTCCAGGAAAGCTCCACTTAGCCATCTCTTACCTTTCTCCTAGCCTGTGTTAGTCCAGCACAGTGAATAAGCCAGCACAGCTTTATGTATGGTATGGTAGGGGCAATCTATGGGGTGCGACTCAGCATGAGCATGGCCGTCTTGCAAGCAGAAGTAGCTGCAGTCCTGCCTTGCCCTGCTTGATAGACACATTGTGGTCACAGGAGCAGGAAAGAAGAAAGGCAGCTCACAGTCTCTCTTTCTTCACCTCTTTTTCTTAGCTGTGCCGAGTGTTAAATGGCCAAGGAAGCCGTAGCAGGCCCTTAATTTAGGACACTAACACGCAGTTTTACACTCTAGCTGTGTTTATTAGCACAAATTTCCATGGTTTATTCAGTTCCATATTAAAGAGAGTCTTAAATCAGAAAATATTGTGGAAAACTACAAATGGTGCTTTTTAGTGTGTTGCTTTAAACAAAATGGAAAAAAAAAAAACACTTAATATGCAAAGGAAATTCTGTCTTAGCCTGAAGAAAAATGTTTTTATGGTAGACTCCCAGAAATAGGAGGTGCAAGTGTTATACTCTGCTCTGACACAAATTTCCTACATGAAAGTCACTTAGGCATGGCTTAAATAGCCTCCCATCAGCACTAGGTGATAGAAATATCCTTCACATTCAGTCTTCCTTCGCAGTGGACCAGCTCCTTACTGATACTGAATCACTCATCACAAGTACTTCCCCCTTCCTTGAGTGTGTAGGGATCCTGGAGGGAAATGGGAGCACTTTGAATCACCTTGCTGGGCTCGATACCTCCTATTTTGGCACTGCAATACCTAATATAAGCACTTAGAGTGAGCAGCCTGAAAATGACTCTAAATCTCTCTGCTCCTTAGTTCCCCATCTGTGAAATTGGGATAATAGCACTTCCACCTGCAGAAGAGCGTCAGGGAGAGAAATATAATAAAAAGTTTGTGAAATTCTCCGGTATGATCGCAATGGGAGTCATATAAGAACCTAAAATAGATTGAAGCCAGTGTGCCATTCCAAAGTTACTATTTAAAATCTTTATCCCTTAGAAAAGAATAAGGTCCATTAACCTTTCACTGCATGCATCAGATTTCAACCAAATGCATCCAGTCCATTAATGGGCTTTATGTACCGCAGGAGTTCTGATTGAAGGAAAGACAAGTCAGGACGGAGAGATAGTAGTATGATTCATCTCTACTCACATCAAAAATGAAATTCTGAGACCAGATAAGTGGTATGTAAGTGTACACATATGAACATTATGTGCACATGTGCATATACACTATTATTGAGGACGTATACATGTGCATATGTATATGTTTAAGCACACAAACGTGGAGTCAAAGAAGTACAAAAAATAAGAGAACAAACTGAGTGAGGAAGAAGGATGGCATGAAAAGCCGAGAGAGTAGAGTAGTCCCTAAAAGAGGAGGAGGATATAGAAGGCAAAATATTGACAGGAGTCCAAGCAGTCTTGGTAGGAATGAAAAAGAAATGAAAATGGAGATGAACCTTTGAATAAGAGGGATTTAGTAGTCAAAATATTTAACTCCGATTCTCTTAGTTCAAGACAATCATTACCTTCCTTTGTTGACTGGTGAAAGACTGCACCTGCAAAGTGTGAAACCATTTTTAATGGTAAGGACACTTGATAGCTGAGGAAAAAGGCCTGATGTTGAGTTCATGGAATTTCCAGCACTGGAGAGCTTTGATAAACATCTGTCAGGAATGTCTTAGGCAGAGTTGATCCTTCTTTTGACACAAGAGCATGGACCAAATAACGTCTTATAGCCTTTTTCAGCTCTGCTTTCTGTTTTACAATTTTCACTGATGCACAAGGTTTGATGGGCTTTAGCTTTCTCATAGGAAAATTTATGAATCTGAAGATATAGTGACTTGTGTCAAGTTTATAATTCACACTGAGAAAATCTCACATTGAAAAAATCCCATCAAATGTAACCATATCTTGATGACTACATTATTTCTATGTGTCCTTATTTTTTCCCTCTAGGTGGAAAAGTTTGGAAAGGCACTGAATTATGCAGAAGCAGCATTATCGTTTATTGAGTGTGGAAATGCAATGGAACAAGGCCCAATGGAATCTAAATCCCCCTATACAATGTATTCAGAAACAGTTGAACTCATCAGGTAGGAAGGGAGGAGACAACCACAGGGGTTACTCTGTTCATGCAAATATGCTCATCTACTTTATCGTGTTATTTTCTAGAGACAGTAAACGGGGAGAAGTGAGGACTGCCCAGGTGCCTCGTCACTCATATGTAACACAAATGGATTATTTGCGATTTCATTGGAAATTAAATTAGGCAATGGTGTAGAATGCAAAATAAACAATGCTTTTAATATTACCAGAGTTGCAAATTACATAAAGAGGTACAAGGTATAAGTCCAGTGCTCCTCAATAGGGGAAAAAACTGCTAACTAATACCAGAACACATTCATGGAGTGATCATTTGCAAAATGCTGTAACATGTTTAAGACTGCAGTTTAATTGTTACCTGAAAGATGTGAACAGCCATAGAAAAATGGGAATTTGAGGCCCATTTAGTGTGTGTGCTCCTACGGAAGCTAATGGACTCCTGAAAACAGTCCAGCTCACACTTAAACAGACCCCTACATGGCTATCCAAACAGGATAATCCAGAATACAGTCCTACCCACAGTTCCTACAAGGAAAGTTTCTTTCTTCTAAGTCCTTTCCTCTATTGTAATTTGTACTAATAGTTAATATTGAGCGCTGGTAGAGAAAAATAGGTCAAACTCATCCCAGCACTGAGCAACTCTCTGCAAGAGAAAGTCCAGCACACTAGCAGAGAAAGCTGCACTGTCAGTGACCATGGCATAATTCCTTAGGACAGTCAGCCATGCAGGTCTCGTCAGCACTAAGGTCATAGTAATTAAAACATTTCATTTTTAATCATATTCATAATAAAGCAAAGCTCCTCAAACAATTGCGTTCTTTTGGAGCTCTTTTTGGAGTGTTGATGCAATCATTTTCTCACAAACGTTAACAATTCCATTCCATTCCACTTAGGGCTGTCTTCTCATGCATTTCAGTGGATTGAGGCCAGCTTTCTAACTGGAAGATTATTAAACAAAGTAGAATACTGCATCTCTGCATCTCTTCCTTTCTTTTTTTCAATACTTGCACCACCGCAGCAGAGAGCTCATTCTTTGTCTGCCCTGTCTTTTCTCATGATAGCAAATATATGGTCCTAACTCTGGAACTGAATTTTGCTTGCAGATTCATAGCTTTCTGTAATGTATGTAGCTGTGGTTGTGTAGTAGTGTGAATTACTGTTGATCTCACTTGCTGCAGCTTAGAAAAATATGCTAGGTTTACCAGGTACACCTGTTAAAACAAAATGTTCATACTGAATCTTTGCACAGGTATCAGGATTAAAGTTTGAAAACAAAGATAAGAAAAACCACAGGCAGCTAATTATGGGGAGCAGGTATTTTTCTGGAAGCGAGCCCAGAAGTGCTGTGTTGTCCTAACCTTGTCCATTGTTCAGGTATTCAGCTGGAAGCCGAGATTTCCAGAAACTAATTTATGATTGCATAGCACATACACTCTCGAAACAGCAGTGTTACCACTGTAGATGTTTAATATTTATAGGATTTGAGCGTAATGTCATATGTGCAAAAATAGCTCTGAGCTACAAGTTCCCCCTGTGCCGTGCTCTGCTTGGAGGCACAAATCTGGGTAGACACGCTCGGAATTGGCAGGGTGAGGGCAGCACCAGCTTCAAGACAGGCTGTCACCTGCCTTCAAACACTGCGAAAACCTCCCTGCATGAACTCTGTGTAACTGGGCCTCCCCGGCGGCGGAGGTTATTTCAGTAGGGCAGCACAGCCAGCCAGGAAGCAGCACCTTGCCAGCTGGGCTTCCCTCTGCACTGATCGATGGTCGGGGGAGTTACTGCTGTATAAGGAGTGCAGGGAGGCACCGTTAATGGCAAAATAGTTCCAAAACACAACCAGAAAAGGACATGTATGTTTGGTAACTTGAGCAAATGTGTATAACGGGCCAGCTCAAATTACATTGGTCAGCATAGCTCTTGTAGGAGCTGATCAGTAAAATAAAGCTGTGTCAGTTTACTCACATGGGCTTCTTTCCTTTTGCTTAAGGTACGCAGTGAGACTAAAAACCCACTCAGGCCCCAACGCCACGCCAGAAGACAAGCAGTTGGCAGCACTATGGTTAGTAGATCACCATTTCCTCAAAAGGCTCCTTTTCTGCAGGGAGACAGTTCTTGAAAATCAGACGCTGGACGCGGCCAGATAGGATTATGTTGTCTGTTGAAAGAAAGAGCATACTTTCAGCTCTGGGAAGGTCCAGCCCCTCGTATCACTGCAGCAGGTCTGCATTCTGTCTCTGTAAATAAGCAATTCATACTTATTGAGTGTGACAGGTCAGCTATCGTACATCAGCGTAATTAATTTTTAAATGCCCGATGGTTTGTTGTTTTTATGAGCGATGTACTTTTGTACCGATAGTTTGGCAATTTCTTTGTGGCTGACATTTAGGCTCTATAATCGTAAATTACATTTACATTACGTGAAGAGAGAGACGGTGATGGTGATAATTAAGCCTCGTGGATTCCCTCCCAAACAGGGATTTTGGGATATGCACACACACCTCACATTCTATAGGGTGGCTGCTGATGGCTAGTAAAACGCTAAAACGCTGTTAAAATCAAATTTTAATTTAATATCTATGTAGTTAATACATCAAATACCTATTACATGGTTACTGATTCTCAGTAAGTGGACATTTACAATCAGCAAGTGTGTTTTTAACATCTATTAACCATCTGTTAAAAACCCAAACTGAATGCATCTTCATCCTCCATAAATAAAAGAGTCCTAATTAATCATTTGTGTAAAAAGAACCAAGTATTCAGAGGTGCGCGCTCCTTTTAAACGCCCTTCCTTTGTCGCCAATCTGCTGCGCGGTCGGGAGGAGCACGGGGCACGGGAATTGCTTTAAAAATGCCTAGGTGGGGAATTAACTGAAAAGCGGCTAAAAAAGACACGGGGCGGAGGATGGGGGGGAGATGGGGAGAGCGGTGAGGGGCGGCAGGCCGCTCCCTCCCTCCTGCTGCCTGCCAGCCGCTGCCCGTCTGCCGAGCCGAGGCTGTCCTCCAGCGGCGGGCGGCCGCAACTCGCCGGCTGCGGGCTGAGGGGGCCGGCGTAGCGCTTCCCCACGGGCAGCTTGCAGCCTCGGGAGCTGCGTGGGGCCTGGGCGGGCACGGGGCTACGCGTGGCTGCCTACGTCTGCTGGGAAAGGCTGCTGGGCACACGAGGGATAGAAGCAGGATGGCTAGTTTGTTGTATAGGCTGTAGGTTGTTGGAGTGTAGTAGCAGGATGAGGCACCCCAAAAGGCTGCTGTTGCATTTGCAATGAGAAATGAATTTAAAGATTAAATCTTTTGGGGTTCCAGGCTAATAATGACTCTCCCAAAGGAGAGGCCTTTCGCCAAGCATGAGCGCATCAAATTCAGGGCTAAGACCTGGGAACCAAGGTGCACAAACCCTCCTGAGCGCAGTCTGCTCTGTGGCTCTCTTCATGGCCTGCCATGGCCATGGCACCTAACCTAGCCTTGCTATGAATCCACTGCAAAGTGTGAAGGACCATTAGCAGTCTTCTTCATAAGGATGGAAGAGGCCCTAGTGGCATCTAACCATGTTTGGAACGGAGCTGTTGGAGCGAGTCCAGAGGAAGGCCACAAAGATGATAAGAGGGCTGGAGCACTTCTCATGTGAAGACAGGCTCAGGGGGCTGGGCTTGTTTGGCCTGGAGAAGAGAAGGCTCTGGGGAAACCTCAATGCAGCCTTCCAGTACTTGAAGGGAGCTTACAAACAGGAGGGAGACCAACTTTTTACACAGTCTGATAGTGATTGAACAAAGGGGGAATGGCTTTAAACTAAGGGAAGATTTAGGTTAGATGTTAGAAAGAAATTCTTCACTCAGTGAAGTGAGGCCCTGGCTGCCAGAGAAGCTGTGGTGCCCCATCCCTGGAGCTGCTCAGAGCCAGGTTGGATGGGGCCCTGGGCAGCCTGAGCTGGTGAGGGGCAGCCCTGCCCATGGCAGAGGGTTGGAGCCTTATGGTCCCTTTCAACCTCAGCCATTCTATGATTCTATGATTCTGTGATAAGTAAAATGGAGCAGAACAAGTGAACTTAGTAGTAAGCAAAGTGCCACCAGTCTTCCACTGCACATTAATTGAAGAATTTAAGATAACTCATAGGGAATACTGTTTGGGGGCACACTTCACTTTCTCCTTTCCCTTTTATTGCAGTTACCGCTGCCTGGCCCTTCTGTACTGGAGGATGTTCCGACTCAAAAGAGACCATGCTGTCAAGTATTCTAAAGCGCTTATTGAGTATTTCAAGGTACCCTTTTTTTCACATGTTCTAAAATCAGCATGTTCTTATAGTAAATACACTTTAATAAAAACAGTATCTGTGCTGGGGTTAGTTCTTGTCCCACTAAGTCAGTAGGAACGTTGTTATAGACTCCCATCTCAGCACTCAATCACTGGTTAGTTATGTTGCCTTCACAAAGGACCCTCTTTGCAATATACAGGTCACGTTCCCTCAGGAAGGCTAAGAAATTTATTGTACTAACAGGCATTTTATTCTTAATCAATTATCTAGTGCTAACCTGCTCTGTTGTAGGTAGATTTTGGAGATTTTGCTCCAAGAATCACCTCCAGGATTACACTTCCCACTAGACTTTCTGTGAGTTGAAGACTTTGATCTGTATCAGTCCTCAGCTGCAGGACTTCCCCTTAGAAGCATGTATAGGTAAGGCAGTGCAGTGGGACATGTTCTCACCCAAAGGAAATAGCAAAGAGCCCACACTGACTTCAATGGGAGTTGTACAAAAGCACCAGAGGGGAACCAAGCCACCCGCCATGTAGTTGACAGAGCACCACTGGCTTCCCCTTTCTGCTGTACTTTGTGTGCTACTGTTTCCTATCTCCAGTTCCTGCCTGGTCTGCAGCCTGGTTATTTTGAATAAAACAGGAAGTCATTCAAAGCATTTTAATCTGTTTTATTTGACAGGCAACCTTTTTCTGAAAGTATCTCAAGGACAGAACCTTTATGGTGGAGCCCTCCTAGCAGTCAGACCATCCAGCATTTAATCTACATGGAAAGAAAAATAGCCTCTATCTTTCTAATTAAATAAATATGTACCTATAAATGCTTTAACACAAACTGTTTCAAGACAAACTGTTTTGGGAACTGAAACAGCCATTTGTCTTTAAACATGAGTCTCCTTTTTTTTTTTCTTTTTTTTTTCTTTTTCTTTTTAACAGAGGAACGTACCTTGAAATGAAAAACATCCATCCTTTGACATTTTGTTAATAAAAAAATTTCAAATACAACCACGAGCATTCATGACCAGATTTTAAACACATGAAGACATTGAAGGAAATTGACAGATCTGTTATTGTCAAACTGAAATTGAAGCCACTGTAATTGCTTCTAAAAATTTAGCAATATATAATTCAACACGTTATGTTTCTCTAACAATGACTTGATTTCAGGGGAAAGAAATATGTGCCAATTATAACATTTTCTTTTTCTTCACCAATTCAGAGAATGCCTGCATTAAGAACAGCATGGTCAGGCTCTCAACCATATAAAATGTCTCTTACTCACAGACAGAAACTGTTTCACAGCAAACATAAAATGGACTTACAGACAAGATGAGCTTGTTTTCTGCAAAGCTCCTGCTGATACAATGATAGCGTAGTTTCACATTAGTAAGTATTCTCACCTTTGAAAGTAAAAATAGGAAAAAAAAAATCCATTTGCCATAATTTTCAGTGGAAAACAAGCCAATTCTCCACTCATTTCATATTTGGTATCTAAAAGCTTTCAAAACCAAGTGACGTGAAATGCTGACTGCATTAGGAGCTTCCACATATATTATCAATCAAAGAATGGTTTTAAACTATTTCACACATATTTTCAGAGAAAATCGGACGTACTTTTATTTTAAACAAGAAAAGAAAACTTATTAAATCTCCTTTTAAGTATTTTATTTCCATTATATTTAAAAAAAAAAAAAGTAATGTAGCAGAGAATTTGAAAAAAAAAAAAGCCAACATGAGAAAAAAGGTGTGGGAAGCTGTACAGTAAGGCAGAGGCTACTTAAATTTACAGTGGAAGTATCCTTGATTCCATTTCAGTTTTCTCATTTCCCTGCCTCGAGCTCTGTAAGTAAATAACACATGCTCAGTTTCTGTTGCATTAGAAAGATGAAGGCCAGTAGTTCTGAAGAAGACACACACACACGCCCAAAAAAAAAAAAAAAGACTGAAGGAAAAGCCCACTGTGGGACACTCCAGACACTTACAGCAATAAGACAGAAGGCCGGGTGTCAAAATGCAGTTTTGGTGTGTGGAAACATTTGAAGGAATGCAGAGGATGCATCAAAGCTGGGAAAACAAGTTTTTTTGGGGGAGTGGCTCAAGCAGTGTGCCCATCTTACTGGAGAACCATTAAGTCAATGTGCTCATTGTGTGTATGGAAATATTACTGATAATGCCAGATGACGTGCAGTTTTGCTGGCACAGGACCAACAAAACTCTAAAACAGTGAAGAAAGTTGAGTCTTGAAATCTTGAAATAGAACCTATCTTCCTAACTCAGAGGCCTCTAAACAGTAGAACAGGACAAAAGAGAGCAAGGATGGTAGTGACTTAGGACTTCTGTATGCCTAGCTAACTTTTATTAAAAGGAAAAGAAATTCTGGTTGAAATTCCATGATTGGTGGAAATTAGACATTACACGATTGAATGTCCTACAGGATTGCTCACAGCCTTCTGGTGTTCTGGTTTTCTCTCACAAGAATTCCAGCCTAAACCTAACAAGGAGTCCTAGCACTTCCTTCTGAACTCCCAGGATTTTTGTGAGAAGGCTGAGCATCAGCAAGTGTATTTTCCTAGCTAGCCTCCATCTCAGGATGTTTAATAGAATGTGATTTGAATCTGTGCTACAGCACTGCTTCATCACAACCCCAAACCAGGCTCTCTGGGATAATTGCATCAAGAGATTTGAATACCTCTGTTTTTTCTTTATATTCCTTTACTTTTATATTATCTGCTGTTCCTCATTTCATATTTTTACATTAATTATATGCATTGTCAATTATTTTTCCTTTACAGAATTCATCAAAAGTTGCCCAGAACCCACCTTCTTGGGGTAACAGTGGAAAGTAAGTTCACCTGTTGCACAGAAACTTAGAACATATTGACTGTCAGGTGTTATATTTTCTTACCTGCTCTGTTCTGATACTTCGATGTTTTTAAACCAAACACTCTTTTAAGCAATGGTGTTAACATCTGATTTCAGGAGCACAGGAACTCCATCACCCATGTCCCCTAGTCCTTCTCCAGTCAGTTCTGTTGGATCCCAGGGGAGCACAGGGCCCCCTTCCTCATCTCCTATAATCAGCATCCCCCAGCGCATCCATCAGATGGCCGCCAACCACGTCAGCATCACCAACAGCATCCTGCACAGCTATGACTACTGGGAGATGGCAGACAACCTGGCCAAGGAAAATAGAGGTGGGTGATTCAAGGATATGGGCCACTCTATAAGAACATCACATGTTTTGATCAGCAAAAAAATGCTTTGACAGGAATCCTGCCGGCAGAGTAGGGCTGCAGAGGTTATTTTTTTCTTCAGTCTTTTCCTAGTCTGTCCCAAAATAACCCAAAAAATGCAATTTTGACAGCTGTCTCATTTAGAAGCATCTTTATATCACTAATTTTTTCTGTACACTGCTGGTGACAGACAGATCACAGGTCACAGATGTATCTGCAGGCAGTATTCACTGCCATTTGTGTCATTCTGGAGAGAAAGGTTTGAGAAGGGGCAAGGCAGACTTCTGCTCCCAGAATCATGGAACTGGATGAGATGCTTCTAGCCAGACCATGTCACAAATCAGGAGCACATTTCATTTCTGCAAAAGAAATGAGAATCCGTCCAACCTCCACCCCCCAAGGAGAGACAGATAGGAACAAGGCACCCTCACTCCCTCTTCAGGGTGCAATTTTCCCAGTTAAGCTGGTTTCACTGTATTTAAGGCAGGTAAATGATCAGGAATCAAATCAAAATTAGGACACCTAACTGTAAGTGTTTGTATGTGAGCTGTTGGGTTAATCTCTCATTACAGTGGATGTAACTTTGTTCAGTACAAACAGCAGAGTTCAGAGGGCTGCTCAGTTCACCTTGAAGATGACACCGGGATCCAGTTCAGTTGCCTAACCGTAGCCACCAAATGCCCTTTGAGGTGTCCTATACTGCTGCTCCAGAAGTCTCCTGTATGTCCTGTGTTAGGTCAGCTATGTATGTATCAACTGCCTGAGGACATCTCAAATGGACATTATATGCCTCTAAGGATGTAACTGAATTAAGTACCTATTGACTACTTAGGCAGATTACTCTTTAGATTGGGATGATCACATTGTATGCCTCTATTTGTCTATCAAGGTAGTTCAGATATCTAGCATATGTATAGATAGACACTTGTGTATAGGCTTTTAGATTCACTTGTCCTTACTCTCAAAATAAATCTTGCCCAGCATCTGTTTGTTTTATCAAGACTCAACGGAAATTAATGAAAGGCAAAGCTGAAGAACTCACTGTTTTGTTCTTTCAAAAGAAAATTGTTGTGTATCAGCCTGTAACATCATGAACCACGGGGCTTTAAAATTAATCTCACTAGCACTAAACTTTCATTCCCATGAAATGTTCAGCTTGACTCAATTTGCAAGAGAATAAAACCTATTAAAGGGTGACAAATAGCAAATACAGCTTCACTCTTCTGATGCTGGAATCTTTTTTTTTTTTTTTCCTGTAGAATTTTTTAACGACTTGGATGCATTGATGGGACCTATCACCTTGCACAGCAGTATGGAGCATTTAGTTCAGTACACTCAACAAGGACTTCACTGGGTGCGGAATAGCACTCACTTGTCATAATGACTGTGTGCCATTCACTTGGACTATATAACCTTTCATGGATAATTCAGTTATTCTGGACACTGTGCTACAGAAATAGACAACCACAGCATTGATCCAAACAAAGGTGAATATTTCTTCAATGATGAGAAGATGTTTTCTGAGAGTAGATATGTATCTGTGCATATGTACAATATACAATGATTTCTCTTCAGAATAAATTGTTCTGTACCACTCTCCAGAAAATTTTCGTACACTAGAAATACTAGAAAGAACTGATGTGAATGCACAAAACATACCCTTTTTATTCACGTGCTGAAAAATTTAGAAACCAAAATCTCATGGGGTGATTGAACCAAGTGCAATAAGCACAAATCCCTATTCAGGAAAGCTCTCAATAGACTCTTTCCTTTTAAGCTTGTACTGAAATCCCATTTACTTCAGTAGAGCTTAAGCACATATACAAGGGTTTTCCTGAACTGAATGAATGAGTGCAAGTCTCAGCAACAGAGAACTTACTGCAAGCGTGGACACTTCACAGAAGTTCCAATATTTATGTTCCATCTCCCTGTAATTCCCCTGCTGGGGCACACAGAGGAGTTGTGTAGTCTGCATTAAGATGGAGAAAGACAGCATTCCTTCAGTGTGCGATAAGTTTTGACAGATTGCTTGCATTTTTTTATCTCCTGTCTTTTTAAATCACTTGACCTCTTGTTCGGCTCCACACCAACAATACAACCTACAATAACAAGCAAAAAGCCTGAAAACAGATATGCTGATTGCATGAACTTTAAAGGAGATGGTGGGAAACTGCATTCTGTTACCAACAGTAAACAGATAAATGAAAAAAAAAAAAAATGGCAAACTGCAATCCACTCACTAAAGTAAATGAGTTAATTTCAGCTACATACAGACAGACAGATATCCATAACAATTGTTGGCTCTGCATGAGAAGGCTTCATCTTATAGATTTTGATTTTCATATCTTTTTCACGTAGCAGAAGCTTGCAGCACATTCTTCTAGGCTGTACAGGAACACTACATGCAATTTCCTTTATCTGGGAAGCAGAGTTTTCTGCTCATCAGGCTAAGAACTGTTTCCTATCATAATCCTCTCACTCTTCATGCATAATCCTCAACTAGGCTTTAATGTTTCTTGATTTGTGGGATGTTTTCCATTCCTGTTGACAGGCTGTGTTTTTCGTGCCAGAAGAATTAATCCCACAATGATTGGAGTTTAATTTGGGTCAGCTGAGGTCAAGGCCAGTTCATACCAACTGTGTTTGCCCTCAGCACATTTGTGTTCATTTTCAGTGGTTTTGACACATTTATTTTTCTTCCTCTGTATTGGAAATATAATTTTTTGCTTGCTTTGCAGTCAGATTTGTAGCCCTTACTCAAATCAGCAGTTCTGGTGACTTCAATAGACTGTGCTTGTCCAAGTCACTGACTGACCCTTTGATTGTTGTTTTCTAATTTAATTCACAAATATTTTAAGGAAATGTGAGTACAAAAATCTCTTTCAATATATGATGCAGTAGAAGTAGCCACTGATATTGAGGGTTAATTGATTGGTTCTTGCTGCCTTTTTTTTTTCCTCTCTGATTTTGAAAAGACGCATTTAAAAAAGAATAGATACCAAACAAAGTAGCATGTTTTCTCAGTAAAACATCTCTGGAAGCAAAGGCTGTATTACCCTGTGTTCAAGAGCAGGCTGGACAGCATGCACAGCTCCAATATCGGCATATTTTTTTTGATCTAGGCTGCTTACAATAGGGCTGGCTATTGCTCAGACTCAGAACATCACCCTGTTCTTTGATGCAACTCAGCAGGGTAACTACGTAAGGACTGCTCATCTCTAAGCCATCCCAAGCCAATCTCATGTGCCGATTAGTGCTTGGATCCTTCCTCCCCAAAAGAACTCCTAAGATCAGGCTGTGGTAACTCTTAACACGGACTTGAGTATTACAGTGTGGCTGGCTTTAAGAGTGAACATGGGCCTGCCTTTAAATGATAAAATGCACATCTTCCAAGTCCTTCGTCACTCTTAATTCCAGCTGTCACCCACTTCAGCAGGAACACAAGTTGTTTGGTCCCAAGTATCACGGAGAACATGGTTAGTGCCTTTCTGTTTATTACTTGCCTGATCTCCAGCGGTGGGCGTCTACCATGATGTACCAGACCAGCAGCAGTGGATTCTGTCAGCTGCTTCAACATCATACGAAGGTACTGTGGAATTTCCAATTAGGATTGGATTCACTAATTGGATTTCCAATTAGTGAAATTCCAATTAGATTTGCTTCTGTTTTCTTTGATGGTGCCTATGATGTTTATCTTCAGATAATTTGGGGGTTTGGGAGCCCTTATTGCTATTTAATGTCGAGAAATTTTAGATGTGACATAAATTACTTGCCTTAAATGGAGTTTAGTTTTATTGCACATGTGGCATTTGAGTTTCAAGTATGGAACTTTGAAGCATGTTTATTTTACTAGGGGTATATTTCTTAATCACAATGAACTCTTTGTATGGATGTAATATGTCAAGCAACTTCAAAGAAATGCAAGAATTATGCTGTCCTGTTGTAACATTTCCAAGCACTAAGGATTTCTTGCAGATGATTGTCATTTCTTGTACATTGTTCTCATATTGAATTATTCCAAAATACCCATTGCTTCTTTGGAAAAACACACTGGCTTTTAGGTTGTGTGCTGGCATCATCTGTGTGGCCTGATGAGCACACTGAGCCTTAACTTCGGGTGGCAAAAAGGAATGAAGTAGCAGCCATTTAAACCAACTGGTCATATACATGGATTAGAGTTTTTGGTCTTCTTTCTGCTGGGTTTCTCACAGCTGTACAGCTTTTTTGGTGAAGTTATTGCAATACTCTTCTGTGCAGACTTTTTGCTGCATAATAGTTGCAGCAGTTTAGATGGCTGGAGCTGAATGTGACGTGGTGACAACAAATATTTCATTCCATCTTCTTAGGGCCTGAACTGGAGAGGTGCATGTGGCCTTTAGGTCTGGTCCAATTAAGCATATGTTCCGTATTAAGAACCGGAGCAGCTTCAGATATTCCACCATGACTCAAAGGTACTTTGTTCTAGATGAGACCAGTAGATACCATCCTTTGGGGTTCAATGAAAGATGCCTACTCGCTTTAGACTGCTGTAAAAGCCCATTAACATGCAGCTTTCTTTGCACTATGGCAGTACGCAGGTTCATTTGGTGCAAGCAAAACATCAGCCTGTACGAATCCAGAAGAATTATACATGGAAGGAGAGGTCTGCTTACAAACAGAGGCTTCTGAATAAGTAAAGGCTGATAAAACAATGGGAATACATTCAAATGAACCATATAGTGAAGGTGGATACAAGAAGCGCAAAGCAGCATACAGGATTCTCAAAGACAGCAAGATAATACAGACTCTTGACCTTAATCGTTTATAGTATTCCATAGTGGCATGAATGACAGATAAGAAGGACACGTGCAGAAGTCTGGGTGTGGCTAAAAGCCAAGCACAGCCCTGCCATCACATGGCAGGATTCCCCAGCTCATTTGCCTCTTTCTTTTAGCCAAATATCACAGGGCTCCAAAGGAAGATGCTTCAGTGAATGGAAGACCTTAGGTAAAGAAGGTTAAGAAGATCAAGCCCTAAATGTAGATACAAACACATATGTATATACTGTAAATCTAAATAGTAATTAAAGTCACTCAGCATGAAGGATATTACTAGTGCCTACCATTGATCATCAACTACTCATCACTGAGCAGCCATATCACCTCAGAACTGCAGTAACTTATCAAAATAATTTGTGCAGCTAATTAATTTATAAGCAATGCACCTTTGGGACTGTGTCATCGTATCTCTTTTGTAATACAAACGTTCAACCATTTTTCACGGCTACTGATTCAAATCTACATCACTGAAATGTCAGGATATCTTTTTTTTCCCCTAGATGAGGACATGCACTTAGACCTGGCTAATCTGTGCTTAGTTTATCTACCCAAGAGACTTCAGTAGTCACCAGCCTTAATGCATGTACAGTATATACTATTCACTGACTTAGTTGTAGGTTTTAATCCAAATGAAATTGGAATTTGCAAAATGACTTGGATTAATGGCATCTGTCTCGGATACCCTGCAGATGTGACATTAAATGATTCATGATTTTAAGCAGGAAAGGTTGAATTTTATGTAAATTGCAGTGGATGAATTCCAGGAATTTTTATAAGATTTTTTCAAATGAAAGGATTGTCAAAGCAATCTGTTGTGGGTTTGTTGTTTTTTGTTTTTTTTTTCCCCCTAACTGTCCTAAATTTTGTGGAGGGTCATCAGTTCATGGTCAAAACTATATTAAGAACATCTCCTTCTGCAATATGCTTTGCCTTTACATAATCCGCTTAATGCTTAGTATGTCAAAAAGAAATGTTTCACAACAAGAGCAATGTTTCCCTTCCTCCCTCCAGGGAGAATCCTCAAATTAAGAAAAAAAAAAAAAAAAAGAATAAAATCTCTTGCCACAATGGAAATACAAACAATGCCTGAAGAATATGAACTTGTTAAGATAGCTGTAGAGGCTTGGCTGGCACAGACCTATCATGCCTCTCATTTTGCTATCTTTCTGTTAGCATTTACATCACATATTTGAACTCATTGTATTTGAAACCAGAGAAGCAGTCTGATTTTCATATCTTAAAAAGGCCCAATAGTCTGATCAGTATCATAATTGTAATTGTTACATTAGCTTGTGCACCAAAGGCTGGGAAGGCATGTTACTGGAGATAAATTTGCCAGAACTCATTTAGAAAAGCATTTGAATGATCTTATATCTATTCTGTCTAGAAAAACAGAGAGCAATATTTCTCACCCAATATTGTTACATGAAAAATTGCCTACTTTAATGTCTCCCATAAAACTGCCATTTGCCCTCCATAACGCCAAGATTCCATATCTAGCACTACCAGTTGCCATGCTGTAAATTCTTCTTAAGGTTAATCAACAAACTGGGAAAATTACTGCAGGCCCTGTTTGCCCTCAGCTCACTAAAGCTACAGACAGGAAAAAACACTGAGATTTGGAGCATCCAAGGCTCTATCAGTTTCAGAAGACTATGGGCTTCCTCACTGAGATGTAGGTGGATGTTTCTGAAGTCATTCCTTGCCTCTGCTTGCTGTCTGGTTCCTTTGCTTTTGGAAGTCTTCAAGTATGAATTCCCTTTCAGGGTTGTCTTCTTCTTTGGCAGCCCAAGCTCCCTTTCCACCTGGGTGCTGGAGCATGAAGCAAGTAACCCATGGGATTCACAATAGGTCTTGCTTTTCTCCACAAAACCAGCAGTAACACAACAAGGCTTCCTCTCTTTTTTGATCTGTATAGCTTGAATCCCAGCCTCATCCATGCTAACCATAAAGAACTCCAGTGGGTCCAAGGGAACGCAAAAAAAAAAAAAAAAAAAAAAAGGGGATTTCCTCTGTCCTGAGGCACTTCTGGGAAGTGAATATAGAGAACAGCATAGATCATACAAGACACTTAAGTCTCCTCTTTCTTACGTGTACTAACACAGGAAAACTTTAACACTTACCTGTCTCGTAAGATTTTATGAGAATTAATTCACATGTGCAAGTCACAATGTGTTCTCAGCAGAAAAGTGGTGTTGTAGAGAAAAAATCTGATGAATTTCACCCCCTAGCCCAGAGCCACAAGACCCTCAAACACCTTAAATATCATTTAAGCTCTCAATGTAAGTGCCGTAAGTACATAAAACTCACGCTTAGCACCAAGGGGAGTCACAGCCTGGATGAAATCGCTGTTCCCAGAGCATCTGTAACCTTGAGCCTGGCAGCAAGCAAGGATCACAAGAGCGATTCTGGGACAAACAGTGAAGGCTAACAAAGAGGTGGGAGGCATCCTAAGAATTCCGTATATATACACTTTTTAATTTTATTTTAATGTTAGTAAGCCACTTTGTCTTTCTGTGAAAGAAGTTTGCCTCCCCAGTCTCACCAAAAGTGTTTCTCCTAACAGCCTGGGAAATGTCCAACTTATTTGTTACTCCAAATCCATCTTCAAATGAATCCAGATGGATATCCTCTTTTAGAACGGCACACTGCAGAGGACTAGTCACTTAACAAGATATCTGTGTCCATTTGCAATACCAGTTACTGATCTGGGAAGTCAGGTACATTGGGAGCACAGTGTTCAGGGAACTACTTTCCTAAATCATGCCATCATTAGCTGGCATCACAGGGTGAAATTCCCTGCTCTTTTCTGAAACATTACCTCTGGAACAACTGCAAATCACTTCACCAAGGACTGAATGCCAGTCAGAACAAATTGTTTCTATTGCTCTTCACATTATTCAGGCAGTGCCAAAAAACCCTTTCTCACTTAGCACTACTTACCCTTTAGTTCTCCCTTTAGCATTCTTACACAAGAAACCTTCACTCTATCCACAGAGAAAGAGGCATTTACCGTGGGGACATGCTCAACATAGATAAGTACCAAAGTATAGGCTCATCTTAAGTCTTTTTTCTATGTCTGAAAATACTGGAATTTTAAAAGGATGTTTTCATCTGCACTTGATACTTTGGGCCCTGCCCTCACCCATGACACACAAGTTCATCTTCCATTTGCTCACACACAATGCTGTCTGGGAGCACGGGGGCTTCCATCTTTCCCCAAGAAACCACACATAGCTAATTGGCCATCATTGGTACATCTTATGCCTTTTTTTCAGCCTTTCATTTTAACTCCCTGGTCACAGACTGCTCTTCTTGCAGCTTTCCCAACTTACTATTTTCTTCACCTATCTGAGCATTACTCACAGGAGTATCTCACACATCACATGGAGGACAGCTCAGAGCTGCTCCAAGCAGCTCGGCATCTTTCTGCTTTCCTGCTGCTACCCCCAGGTGGGACTAGTGCCTACCTTTTCCCTGTTAGTCCTAGGAAGAAACCAGTTTTCCCCTGAGGAAAAGACGGTGACTCCATGTACAACTTCTGACCTGCTTTTCTTCTCTGGGTGAGAAGGTGGATGAGAAAGACCACCAGTCAGGGGACTCAAAGCCCTAACTGCTGATGACTAGCGAGCAGCACAGCTGGAGGAGTTAAAGCAGTGCCAACACAGCCAGCAGCCTTTGGTTCAAGTGTTACTGATTTGCTTGAGTTAGCATTGGCACTTGGTGGCCCTGCAGTAGAACCAACAGGAACTGGCAGCCTCACACCTGTGTGAGGACTTTCACTGTATTACTGAGACCACAATCACCTTTGTAGTGATTCACTGGGGTTAAGTACCAAGAGAAGGTGGGACAGAAGAGTAAAAAAGGCCTGATTTTAACACAGAAGTTGAGATTCACCTCACCCTATACTGAAAGTCTAAGCAAGATGAATCACACTATAGAAACACTTCTTTCTGTCATCTGGCTCCAGTGATGAGTTCAGATACAGCAAAAATACAAACCCCACCCCAGGCTCACAATTGCACTTGTTGCTACTGAGAGTGCCTGCTGAAATTGGTAAAATACCACGAGGTGCTCTGAGGCAGGATATGGCTGACATTGCTTCGGGAGAGAGCAGAGGTGCAGAAAATATGTAGGAGCTGAAGAGTTATCTCTGAGATGTTTAAAGGATGTGTTTTGGACTTGGACCATCCCTAGCCCATTCTCTAATTCATTAGGCCCAAATCCAAAGAAGTAGTTCCTCAAGAAGTGAATGTGCATCTTTCTGCTATTAAGACTGCTAAAGTACCTAGAAAATGTATTTTACAGTTTCGTAAACACTTAAAGACACTTTTTTTGTATGTTGCCTGAGAGCATAGTTGTCTTTCTTTAAACAGAAGGTGTTTCCATAGATGGACAACGAGACCAGACCAGCTGTGACCCCACAAAATGCCAGTGTCACTCTTTTAATGGAAATTCAACAAATTCTGCAAAAGAACTCAGCATTGCAGTTCTATCTACAACAAACAGCACAAAGGCAACACAAGGCCACCTCAGGCTTGTGGCCTGCCCACACACTGCTAGTCTTGTAGCTGCTCCTGCTGGAGACAGAGCAGGAGAGTTGAGAGGTGCCAAAAATCCTCTCCACGGAGAGGCCAAGGCCAACACTTGGTATTGGCAAAGCCAGATCTTCCTGTGCAGGCTCTCTGTGGACGGAGATAAAAACAAGTATAACAAAATATGGCTGTACAAACTTTGACACTTTGCTAACAACAGCTCCCTGCCTTCCTGTGTGCATTCTTAACCAAAACCTGCACTGTAGCAATGCTTGCTGACCAAGGCCCTGTTGCAGTGGGAACTCTACACAGAGCGACCCACAGACCTTCTTCCAAAGAACTGCTGTCTTGCAGAAGCCAAAAACAAACCATGCTGCAAGTGGGCAAGGAAAAAGAAACAGGTGGGGAAGAGAGTACAGGCCTCTGAAATAACAGGATGTTTAAATTTGTCACTACTTACCCAATCAGTAGCATTAATCACAGTAATCACAGTTCCCATTTCCTATGCTGAGTGTAGCACCAATGGTTGACAAGGCAACACAGTGTGAGGTCCAGCTGCTGACTGTCCTCTTGGTCAGCGTGCTGAAAGTGCACACAGCATACAGGGGGTACTGGAGCTTTTCAGCTTTACCCACTTCTTTTCACACAGCCAACTGTGAGCATCTGTCCAGCTGAGGTACTCAAGAGTTAGACAATGACCAGAATTGGTTTTGTATTTTATCATATTTCGTATTTTATTTATAACCGCAAACGTTGGCAGTTTTTTTGTTTTTTTTTTTGTAAAATCATTCAAGTCAGCATGGTTTATTTGCATCTCATAAAACATGGCTTACATTTCTCTCCAAGGGTGTTTTGTCTGAGGCTTCACCGACCCAGCCAAAGCTACAGAGGTTTTTATTTCCAATGAGAAAAATCCTGCAACATCCCTACATAACAGGCAATAGTGTTTACACCAGTTAATAAACAGAGTATTCTGTACAGTAATTTATGCTGTAAGATATGTATATACATCACTGTAGCAGTCACAAATGCTTTTAAACTGCCTTATTTATTAGATCAGTTAGCATTTCCCCCTTTGCTCCAGAATGCTTTAAATTATTTTTATCTTTTGCATTAGGTAATTTTTTAGTTACTGCATTTTTGACCCTATTATTGAAAAAAGAAAGTATTTACGGTAAATAGGTCCCTAAAATTTAAGTAGAAATAGCAGATTCACTGCCCATCCAACTAATATAGCTCTGATTATGATTAAAAATAAATATCATATATTCTTAACTGTGTATTATAGTACGTGCCACAAATCATATTCCACTTACGATCAATACAAACAAGAGCTTTAGTAACTTTCACCTATTTCATTCTCCCACTCTGAGACAAAAACATAATAAGCCACTTAATCTAAAATGTTCCCCATGAGAGCTCCAGTCTTA